CGATGGTTCTGCTTCGTGAACTGAGAAATAGATGGTTCTGCTGCCAGGAGATTGGATTCATGGTTCCGCTTCCGAGTGTCAGTCCTGCTTCAAAACAAAAAAATACCAAGCAGAACCATGTAAACCAAAATCCCCTAGAATCAAGGTTTTTGAGAGTGTCCCAAGGAAAACACTGCTTTTAGATGGTTCTGCTTAGATTCAATGTTCCTCATTTAGCACGTTCTGCTTGGTTTTTTTTTCTCGTGCCCGCCTCGACAGACTGAGTCAGAATCCTGAGTGTCCGACCGCACCAAGTGGAACCATCTAACAGTTAGGACCTCTGCTGCAGGATGGAGCAATGGCTGGCTTCGAAAATGAAGGAGTTCGGAGAGTGCCTGGGAGGCAGTGAGGAATAGATGGTTCTGCTTCAAGACATGATTCTGCCTCAATACCAAAGCCAGGATCCCAGACCCCACAAATATCTAAGGGCCGTGGACGAAGAGACTCGGCGGCCTTTGCGAGACCGCTTTTGCAAGCTTGTCCGAATCGCGGATGAGAAAATCCGCAAGAATGAGCCCATGTCCTCCAGCTGCCCCTGGATCCACGGACAGAGCTGGGAGGCTTGGAGACCGGCACGGGTCACCGAATGTTACCTAGAGAGATCTTTCCCTCACACCGGACTTCTCAGTGTTTCTCCTGATTCCAGAGGCTCTTTTGGATGATGTCCGATCGCGAGCCGCCAGTTTCGGTGCTGTCATCCGGCCACGCATTTTCTCCGCCCCCGATGTCGTGCCGGCAGATGAGGAGGCCCAGGAAATTGCAACGCCAGAGAAAGCGAGCCCGAGTTCCTCCAGCAAGAAGCCTGCCGTCGTAGAACATTCCGACTACCAGACGATGTTCCTCCGGACCCGCAGGCCCAAGACCGGAGTTTTGGAGTTCGCTCTGGCAGCTCGCATAATCTCAGAAAGAGTTGCACTCGACGGTCGCAGCTTCCATAGACGTGACATGAAGCCTGTTCTGTCCGCATGTCCGAGGTTGCCGACCCCGGCGAGTGGACGGAGGGCTACACCTGTCTGTGGCGAACGGAAGAAGTCTGGAGTCTCCTCGCTCGCAACCAAAGCTACCCTAACTGGTACACGAAGTTGTGCCTCTGCTTCATTTGTTTACTCTTCAGCAGAGCAGCAGATTGCAGAAATTCACTTTTCCTCCTGATTTTGCCATGCTAAGGAAGGACACTCAGGTTTTTCCCGTGTCCCAGGCCTGGTGTATCAAGCACCAGCGGCATCTCCTTCGCTCTACACTGTACAAAGGGAGGCAACAGGATGATGACGAGGAGTGTCCGATCAAGTTGCCCTTCAATACACTGACCTTCCCAGGTTTTTTTCTTGTGGTTGCTCGTCTGCACATGTCCTTGGTTGTCTCCGTCGTCCCTTTCATTGATGCATGATAGGTATATAGCACGGTTGTCTCAAGATCATGTCTGACCTAGGTTGCTTCAGTCTTGCAAATCCGATCTTGCAGTCCGAAGCACCAAAGAGCCGCTTTGGCTGCTTTGGAGATGCTCGCCGGCAACTGCCTGCCTCCTAGTGGCCACGTGGAGCTTCTTCCCTCCCTTCCTGTCTGCTGCCAGTCTGCATTAATGAGGCTTGGTTGGTGGTTCTGTCTGTCATTAAATTTCTTTACGAAAACCTGCAGGTCGTATCACTTGGGAGAACAGAGAGGTGAACCTTGCAGACTGGAGCGAGGCCCTGAACTTCTTTGAATGGTCGGACAGGCTGGTTCTAGTTCTGCAAAACGAGGCTGCACTGTGCCGAAAATTTGCTTTGTGCTCTGCACGAGGTGGCGAAGATGCCAGATTCTCACCGAGGCACAACGGAAACTCCAGACAGGACGGGTTCTTGGGCAGACCGCAATCTCTGGACTGTTGTGTTCTTTAGCCTATGCCTGCCGAGTGCACGCGAGGAGTCTCCCTCGCTCTCATGATGTTTTTTGTTCTGCGACAGAACTTTGCAGAGAGTTGCTGTGCTGCTCTTTGGCCTATTTTGAGCGGTTTCTGCAGATTCTGAACTTGGTGTGCAGTCTTTTTTTCATCCCACCGACTCAGGACCGGTGCAAAGCTGGCCGACTTCAAAAACGGATGATTCACAGTATCAGCCAGCTCGCAGAGCATTACCTGCTCCCGGTGCTCACGCCGACTCTTCCTTTGGCCACGAACCAAGACGAATTCCATCCGGCCATGAAGAGTCTCGGCCGAGGAAAGAGGAACTCCGGAAAGCACGCCTGTCTGTCTGTGAAAATTCAAGCACTAAGGGATGGAAGATCTCTTCGCAATGATCTAAAGCAGAAGCACATTGTCAGTTTGGACCGATGGTTGAACCGCAGCACCGGCTGCCTGGGGACCTCTGCCGACGAGACCCTGACATCCGTTGGCTTGCAAGACATGGTGCCGTCCCACCCTCACAGGCAGCTCGATTTAGCACAGTGAGTAATGTATCTATGTCCTTCATGTTGCATGAGCCACAAGCCAGGCTGACTGGCGACTTCTTGTATCGGTACTGGCTGAAAGCTGCAAACGAGCTCAGACAGGAGCAGCAGCATCAGCCTCCCGTTCCATCTGTCTGAAAAGACAGTAATTCCGAGCATCCAGGATGGCCTTTGATCCGATGTCTTCGTTTCTCTGCCGTCTCGTCCTGGCATTTTGGGTTTCCTCTCGGTGGCAGCATCTTCTTGTACGTTTGCTGCCACTACCTGTTGTCGTTGGTTGTTTGTCTCTGTCCGCCTATCTCTCTCTCTCTCTCNNTCTCTCTCTCTGTGTCTCTCTCTTCCCGGTCTCTTTCTAGTTCTACGGTCATTCTCCCATCTCTGGGTCACTCTATGTCTTTATAAGCTCTTCTAGCGGTAGCGAAATGCCCGCAGGACATGAAATCGCAGTCTGCGAGAAGTCTGCTGATTATGGCGGATGCCAGCCCCAAGGGCAAACTGGACGTGGCTGGATTGCACGGCATGATAGTCCAATGATGTAGGACATTGTGTGTCTTTCGCTTTGCCTAGGTCTGGAGTCCAATCCTCTTCTGCGGCCGAGCCGCAGCATGCATGCCTCTACAGCGAATGTCCGATCTCCTGGCCTCGACAGCTTCAGTTGAGACGAAGCTTCAAGAAGCACAGAGGGCTGCCGACTCCTTTGCCGAGCTCAGTAGTGCCGCTCAAGCTGTGGGGCAGAAGAAGAAACTGCTCTTTGGCAGCAAAGAGAAGACGTCGTGCCAATTTCATGTCTTCTTCTGCCGTTAGCTCACAGCTCTCGCAGGCCAAAGGCGATCTCCACGATTCGCCAGAAGAAGCTGGCAGCTCGAGAGCAGCTGCAAGCACTC